CTTTGTGTTTGGGTACTTCACATGCATGAGTGAATTTACTGACAACAACTCAGAACTCGACTTTCAGTATTTATTTTTTTAAGGATTTTTTTTTAATGTATTTTCATTACATAAAATACCTTGATCAAGGTATTTGTAATACTTTGATAAAGCTATATAGTGTAGCAGGAATGAATTTTGTTATATGCATTTATGCCTTGTATTTTCAATGTAATGTCGTTATTAATGTTTTCATGCATATATTTGTATACTGCCTTATCCCCCATATCATTTTGTTTATATTTACAAACCTCTCAGATAATGGCACGTGTTGCTTCCATCAAATCTTACGGGTAAATGTTTATGTTTGATGATCTAAATTCTCATTGGCTATCAATACGGAAGTTAACCTTTTGGGTGTTACTAATTTCAGTCAAAGTTCATACACTTGGGTGTATTCACTAGATTTCAACTTAAAGATTCTATTGTTTCCAAAGAGTATATAAACCCGTGTAACTGTTAGACACGTGGGGAATCTTGGAAAGCATTAACTTGCTGCAAGTTCTCTCACTTTAATAAAGGTTTATTAGGAATTTAACAGGTTGCACCCCTAGAAATTATGTTAAGATATTAGGCATTTTGACTAAATTGTCGTCGTCTATTGCTCCTGTTAAATTTATTAGGCCATAATTCTAAAAGCTAGGAGATAGGTTTTAAGGTATTCTTAAATAAATAAGGGGTTTTTCTAAATTACCCTAGGCCTTTTTCCCCCGGCTAGTTTGGGCTAGCGTTTCCGTACGCTAGGTTGGGGGGGGGGGGGGGGGTGATTTTATTCGGTTGTTAGGATTTTTCTACAAGGCAGGAATTTACAGTTGTTATTTTTTTTATACAATATTTTTTGTCTATACAAAAGTTAATAAATTTTGTTGTTTATTGGAACTGGTGTTTTCATTACGACTGACATGAGGTTCTGAATTAAGGTACAAATAAGCTCGGAAATAAGACCAAGCAGATTCTCAAATCAAAATAAGAACCTGGAAAATAATAAACATGAAAATATAGGAGAGTGTACAGAAATATTCTAGAACCACTAATGAAAATTGTGTTCTAAAGTTTACTCCTATTACAGAAAAATGGTGCCGTGAACCTAGGATTTGAGCACACTGTTTTTGGCTTTTCGAACTCTTACATGTACATAAAGAGCTATTACAGGGTTATTAGTAAAACCATTTGTGTATTTCAAGCCCACGCACATTCAGTGTCAGCTTTGTTATAATCTGTTTTAATAAACTACTTGTTTTCGGAGTTAAAATGTCTCATTTTCCGTATTCAAACGGTTTAGCAAAACCCGAAGATTTTTGTAGAGAACCCGAGGGTCAATCTAAACAGTATTTTGCTGATTCAGACATGTTATGGAAAAGTCCACGTGTTTCTACTTTCTAGTCGTACAGGTAAAAGTGCCGAGTCGTATCAAGATCGTGCAGCATGCGCTTCTCAAGCTGGCGCGAGTTATATCGCACCTGTTCACACAATGCATCAAACAATAGACGAAACTCGGTCAATGTCATTTAAAGATAGCCATAGTCCATTCACAGGTGACCTTGTCAATGAAAGTTGTTTGTTACAATATGACTTAGATTCCCCTGTACCAAAACCAACTTGCGCTACAATCAAAACAAAGAGTGGTTTGAGTGTACCCGATACAGAAAAGTTTAGAGAAGATGTTAGAAAAGAACTTACAGAAATGTTTTCTGAACTTTCGGAACATGACAATGAAAATTTACAACAACAAGATCAATCAATTTCAGAAACAGAATTTAGAATTTTGGTATTGGAAATGTAAATGAAACTCCAGTTACAAGTGGAATTCAGAAACAAAAACCAAATATTTTTCCAGCACTCCACTCATTTCGGACAGTCAAAATATTTTGCCAAAAACCCCTGCACGGGTGCACTTTGACTCAGATCACTCTAGGGACATACACGCGCACACATACCCCGCAGAGTTTAAGAGATACCTTGGGTAACCAAAGGTTTTTACAACCCGGTGATCAAGGACACTCTGTTACATATCTGCCTACACAGAGGTCCCTACATTCATCACATTTACATGGGGGATCCCAAGTAAGGGGTGAAATAAATCAGGAAAATGTATTGCCGCAGCGTGCGCGCCAGTTCAACACGTATGAAACGCAATCAAGGGGAGTAACTCCTACGCGCTTACATATGCAAACAATACCCCAAGAGTTATCTGATCATTGTAATTTTTCTAGATCATCCAGACTTGCAAGAAAAGAAAAAGAACCACAACCTTATGATGGTTCATCAGATCTAGAAATTTATTTACAACATTTTGAATGGGTTTCTATGTACAATGACTGGACCAGTGCTGAAAAAGCACAGCAGGTAGCTATCAGTTTAAAGGGTGATGCTCAACGAGTGTTTAGAGATTTAGACCCTGGAAATATCAGAGAATTTGATGACAGCTGGACTGTTGGCGCGCTATTCCTATACTTTGGTATAACCTTGGCATAATTGATTTGTATTAAAAATAAAAACTAATATTAGTTGTACAATTATTTTGATAGATAGCCTTCATGGACATATTAGACGTTTTCGTCACCGAGGAAGAAATGGAGGCGTTAGATAGACATTCGCCCCTTGTGGCAGGAGGGTGGGATGATCTGTACCGCAGAGGGATGCAACCGCTTCCTGAGGACTATGAAGGATACAAGGTCGCATTGGAACCTAGTTCACAGTCCAGATGTTTGCCTTTTCAACTGCCCCATCTGCAGGTTCGGAAGCTCCAAGAAAAAACAGACAACTAGACATCTCCGACTAAAACATCCCAACCAAAACCAATCAGTGCCCAAGGAAAAGTGGGTCAGGAACATCAGATACGTTGATCCGGGGAAGGGGATGATGCCTCTGGCCCCGGTGAGGCGAGCTAGTGAGGAGTTCCGAGTAAAAGAAGCTGAGCGAAGGAGGAAGGGAATAAAAAAACCCAGTGTGGCCCGCTTGTCAGAGAACAGACTGTGTCACGGGATCAAGAGGTTAGACCCTCTGAGGAAGGAACCATCATAATTACTAGCAGACTTTGGGGGAAGCCCCCTCTACCCCAAGTTGAGCCGTACAATTTGGAATAGAGACTAAAAAACACTTAGAATTTATGATTACTAGTTTAATTGTCCTTATTATTTTATTTTATTGAGAAGTTAAAAGATATTTAGCTTCTACCTTATTTTTAATTCCTGCTATAATATATATTACTTTGAAATAAATGATATAATCATTTAAATCTTAAAGGGGGGGGGGGGGAGTGTAGCAGGAATGAATTTTGTTGTATGCATTTATGCCTTGTATTTTCAATGTACCGGTAATGTCGTTATTAATGTTTTCATGCATATATTTGTATACTGCCTTATCCCCCATATCATTTTGTTTATATTTACAAACCTTCTCAGATAACAGCACGTGTTGCTTCCATCAAATCTTACGGGTAAATGTTTGTTTGATGATCTAAATTCTCATTGGCTATCAATACGGAAGTTAACCTTTTGGGTGTTACTAATTTCAGTCAAAGTTCATACACTTGGGGTGTATTCACTAGATTTCAACTTAAAGATTCTATTGTTTCCAAAGAGTATATAAACCCGTGTTAGACACGTTGGGAATCTTGGAAAGCATTAACTTGCTTCAAGTTCTCTCACTTTAATAAAGGTTTATTAGGTACTGTATTTAACAGGTTGCACCCCTAGAAATTATGTTAAGATATTAGGCATTTTGACTAAATTGTCGTCGTCTATTGCTCCTGTTAAATTTATTAGGCCATAATTCTAAAAGCTAGGAGATAGGTTTTAAGGTATTCTTAAATAAATAAGGGGTTTTTCTAAATTACCCTAGGCCTTTTCCCCCGGCTAGGTTGGGCTGGCGTTTCCGTACGCTAGGTTGGGGGTGATTTTATACGGTTGTTAGGATTTTTCTACAAGGCAGGAATTTACAGTTGTTATTTTTTTTATACTATATTCTTTTTTTTTGTCTATACAAAGGTTAATAAATTTTGTTGTTTATTGGAACTGGTGTTTTCATTACGACTGACATGAGGTGTTGAATTAAGGTACAAATAAGCTAGGAAATAAGACCAAGCAGATTCTCAAATCTAAATAAGAACCTGGGAAATAATAAACATGAAAATATAGGAGAGTATACAAAAATATTCTAGAACCACTAATGAAAATTGTGCTCTAAAGTTTACTCCTATTACAATAGCTTTATCAAGCTATATACCTTTATCAGGGTATTGTGCTGGACCTGGGGGAATAGTGTCTCCCCTTCTGTGTCACTTGGCATTAGAGTTATGAGAGAAGGCCGTGAAGAATCAATCTCCTCCCAGAGTTATCGTTCCTGCTCCGCTCTACTTATACCGAAATCGGCAGCACGTGACTTTGATCACATGTTGTTCAAAATGGCGACGACGCCAAAGAAGGAATCGGAGATAGATTGCTGTATTTGTTTATCGCAAAATACTCGTACATTTAAATTAAAAGGAAGGCAGCTTTCATCAGAAAATTTTGAGAGAGAGTTGACTTCTACAGGATGATTATTTGGTCTCGAAACTGAAATGTGCAGATTCTGGTATATGCCGCAACTGTCACAACAAGGTAAAAGGTACATTTGATTTCATTCAGCAAGTGAGGTCTTCATGCATGTCGTTTTTAAATGAACCTTTTCATTTAAAAAGAACGATGCCTTCCCCTCTTACACCGAAAAGTATTCGGGGGTGTAAATCTGTGAACCCTACTACCGTCAGTACCGACACAGTACATGTAGTTCAACCAAAGTCTAGAAAACGACTAAAAGTTACGTTCGAAAACTCAGCAGTGAAATGTCAAAATACACCTCCATCTCACGATATAACTGTACATTCTGTGCCTACAGTGTCATTCGAGCATGGCTATGCTAGTGTGAATCCAGATATAAAAATGGAAAATGTTGACCCCTTTCAATGGTAAAATCTACATGGGAAAGTCTTACAAGTGACAAAGAAAATGAAGTTCCATCAGTTCTTGGAAATTCTTCTGCCAATTTTTTTCATGAATTAAGAAATCAGTCCAGATCGCTGATGTCAAGAACAACAATGCTTGCTTCGGTATTATTTAAGTACAGAGAAGCTAACTCTTTGGTGGAAAACGCAGACCTCCTTTTTCCAGATATTATATCAGAGATGAAAAACAGGTGAGTAATTTTCCCTCAGAATAAAATCCTATAAGCAACATTTATAATTTTATCAAAGATTTATTGTAAATCTTTAATATTAATGGCATATAGATATATAATATTATTGTACATGCTATTATTTTCAGACTATGTATTGAATCAAATTACTTAAAATTGAATGATGTATCCATTTTTTTTTCTTGATTGACGCTCCCATCTTCCCTGTTATAAGAATCTTGAATCTTGGCATGTTTGTTTACAGGATGCCACATTTATTAGAGGCTATGTGTTGTGTAGCTGTTCCTGAGAATGGAAAGTTATCACCATCTATAATTCCAGTTCTTGCGACATGCTATAGTATTTTGATGAAACATAAGTATTCCAACTTATCAGCTTTCCACAGACTTGCCAGTGCAATTGCAGTTGAAGGGGGACTGAATGATACAGTAAGTTATTAAAATGAATGTGCCATAATTACTAACCTGTCAATTCAAAACAAGTAATTTTGTTGGTACATGTAGTAGGAGACACCCCCACAATTTATCAGTATAGTAAACACAGTTAATTGATATATTTTGACCCCAGTGGCTATTAGATTGGCCAAAAACAAATTTCCTGATAAACTGTTTAATTCTTTTGATTCTCTAAATTATATGTCTCATACTTACCAGCCCCATTCCTATGCTTTTCATTTACTTCAAAGATTTTGTAGATTAGTTGACATACTTGGCTATTATCGCTTCACACAGACATTGGAAATACTAGTTAAAGAAAAAAGTGATTTGGGAGGGGGAGTTTGTTTGATCAATCAATGTATTGTTTGCCGAAAATAAAACTGGGGCTTGCTGTAGATTAATGAAAGTGTTTGAAGGTGGGGGGGGGGGGGTAGTGCCCCTAGCCCGACCCTTCCCCCAGTTTCCTAGTCTGTGTCTTTGTTAAAGACTTAAAATTGCTTGGTTATCTGTAGATTTCTAAGTACAGTTTTGATTTGCTTTAGTTATTATACATGTATTTCTTGTTTGATATGCTTGCTTATTATTAAACATTTTATAAGAGGTGTTTGATTTGCATATTATTATTATCGTTATAATTACAGTTTGGTTACCTTAATTAGTATAGTTATTATTGTTGCAGTAGATTCAATTTTGAGTGCATGTTGACTTATCACAGGATGGATCTACCCATTAAAATGCTGAAATACAAAGACTTTGGTAAGATGAATGTTGTACCGATTCGATAAAATTAAAGAAATTCTATCCTTTTTTGTACAAAGAAAAAACCTAGCCATTTTTAAGTTTTTAATAATAAAAAATTCTATTGCAAGTATGTTGTTTCTATGCTTTCTATGGTTTCATTTATTAAGTGAAATCAATAATTACAAATATTCAGTATTAAAATTCTTCAGTGTTGAGAACCCTGCCATTTGGAAAATGCATTCATTCATTTATTCTCTCAATAAACTATATGAATGGTACAAGAGGTACAAATATATATATATATATATATATATATATATATATATATTTACAAAAACCTATACATTGTAGTCCCGTCCGGTTTCACCGGTAGGGGACTAATAATTATGGACAAGCAGAGATTACAGGATGACAGAAATTATGAAAAGGAGATTTTCATGCTCAATATTCAGGGCCAAACTAGATTCAACCACTTAGGAATTATGTTGACATCTCAGAGAAGATTGAACTTTCAAGAATCCATTGGTTGTGCATCACAGAATCTAATAATTGCAAATTTGAAATCCAAACCACTGCTGAAGGTGACAGGTGAGAATAAATTAATATTTTAACTTGCTACCTTTTACCTGCTACTTTTAAATAATACATATATAACTTCCAATATTGCAGTATTTATTAACAGAATTTTTTTTCTTGTAGGTGATAACCTAGATATATATATATTAAGAGATCAAACCTGACATCAGACAACAGGAATCTGGATCTTCATCTATTTACCTCAAATATCATTTTTAGTCGAGTTGCTACAGTTGACATGAATAATGATATACCAAATACTGATGTGTCCCAATTATCTGCAGATGATGTTCTCCTTAGAGCAAGTGGCCCAGAAAGACTTAAGTTCATGGATGTATGTTGTGTGTTGCTCTGCAGAATATTATGTCAATTGCCATATTTTCAGAAGTTTGAGAAGATTTTGCCAAAACATATTCCACATGAATTTTCACAGAAAATGGCTAGTGCTTCAAAAGTTATGCCATTGCCCATCCAGTTCAAAAATGAAGCTAAGCATGAAGATTGCTTAGCAATTATGGATAAGTTTGAAGACCAGATTACAACAATGTACCAAACTGCCTTCGGTAAATATATGTTCTCACATTTATAACTTGACTAGTGGTTGATTTATTAGTTGTGATTTAAGATATACAATGTGGTCATTTTAATGTTCATTTAATGGTATTATTTGCCCACTATATACATATACGTGTACATACTCCAGTACTAGTCTTGGGAATAAGCATATTTTATGTATGTTTTCCTTCTATACCTATTTTTTTCTCCTCGTAAAACAGGTAATTTGGAGACTCTTAGAAAATTCAAAGTGGTTTTGGGGGGAGACCAGTTAACGAGAGCAAGATTGTAAGAGGCAAAAAACCTGCGGACCATCTCTATAACACCTGAAAGAAGATTTGATGATTTGAACCCAATTGTAATTGAGATGTGGCATAACAAACAAGACTTTTTAGAGGTATCATCACCTTAATAAAATTTAAGAAACTTTTTATCATTATATGGAAAAGACTTTATTTTTGAATATAAAACCATACTTTTATGGATAAAATTATCATTATAAGCGTACAAACATGGGAATTGTCAGTCATAAATAACCCTCCAACCTTTCAACTTGATAAAGTGATAAAAACAATTTAAAAATTCAGATAGAATTTTTTGTATTTTAGAAATGCTTCAAGTGCTTATACAAGGGTGAGAATTCTCCTGGAACACTCAGCTTTTTCAAAACGCTCTTACATCGGACAAATGTGAATGGGCAGGTGAAAGGAAGATTCCAACCCCACTTTGATCTTCTTATGACTGTTGGGGAGGGACTGGTTAAAGAACAGTTTATGGAATTTTTCCAAATGGAGAATAAGTACAGCCAACCCAACCACAAGAACTTTGAAGAAATTGACATCAAATCATCTGAAGAACAGAAATCTTTATTACTGGCTGCTGTGATTGATTTTATGAAGTATTTTGGATACTGCAATGCAGATACAGCTGAACGTCTTCCTCAACCACTAAGGGGAACATTGAAATATCATCTACAAAAAACAGGGGATGAAAATCAGTGGATTCTAGTGCCATACCATGAAAAACCACTAGATGATGAAGTCTTTAACTATTCAATGCAACTCTGTCATTGGTATTTGCATATTTTGGAGCTGCGTGATACCGCAAAAGGTGATCTAAATCGAACAATTCTCAACTGTAAATATTCAATTCCATTTTTCTATTCTCATTCAAGATTAAGCAAATACCTGGTTGAGAATGTGGACTATCTATTGAAAACAGAAAAATTACTGTCTCCTTTACAACGCATTGGTGTTTTGGAGGGTTCCTAAGTCAACATTTGGGGTGGTCATGGCAATAATGTTGAATGTGACTTAGTACAGGAGCACAGTGTATGTAATCAAAAAGCTCTAATCAAAGCATTGGGAGCAAACAAGAGTGAGAAATCCATTTCTCGTGTGACCGCATCAGCTGATGCAATTGATGAAGTCTGCACAAAATTTGATAGAAGTGTGAATTTAAAGCCAAAAAGTGGAAGACATTCTTTGTCATTTTCTGAAGCAGACAGTGAAATTGTTTATAAAAAAATGAAAGCTGAAGACCATTCAACACTACCCAGGCAGAACCTGTAAGGGATTCAATAATATAAGCCCTGTTCCACTCCTTGGGGAAGAAATGCCCAAACTGAGAGAGAGACTTAACCAAATCATAAAGAGATTTTCACGTGGCTTTCAAACTATGCCGGCTGAGGGGGATGAGTTTGATCCTGATAATTAAATTATTGATAATCTGCCATCATTATGAATCTGTTGTCTGTAAATACTACAACATTTCCCCTATGTTGTTTGCTTCGTGCATGGAGATTTTATAATTTTATCCATTGCATAAGTTACATGTATGGCATTGTGTTAAATGGATTAGAACAATTTCCATTTTTGCTTAAGGTCCAAGTTGGCTTCACCAAATAAAGAATGCTGTATCACTCTGTATCTAATACGTGTATATTAAAAGCTGTTAGCAATTCATGATTATTCATGGTGAACTGTAATGTATTCAATTTTCTACAACCTGTTAAAAGATTTCAATTAAATACTGCATCACAGGCACATGTTATAAATGCAAGAAAGGGAGTAATTTTGTTCATGAGCTGTTTTTATTTTGATTTTACATAGCAGTAAACTGACATATTTGCAATATATGTTCAAACATAGTAATAAAGAATATAATGTAATGTTTCCTTAAATCATGATGGTTTGCTTTCTTCTTTCATAAATGAAAATGTTTATAACCTGTTTATGAAACAGGAAGAGTCTACTGTAAACATAAAACATTTTGCTGTGTTGGGCTTTTGGTGGAAAGTTGAATGCTTTCAATAAATTGAGTGCATCACATAATAAGAATAGGTACATTCAGATTATATATACTTCCTTATAGAAACCTAAAGAAGAGCATAAACATTAATTTCTGTGTGAACTTTTAAACGGGTCAAGAGGTCAATCTTGATAATCACAATGATTATTGCACGAACTTGTGGTTTGATTTTTGCATTACTACAATGTTCATAATTCTAAACTTTATAACTTCAGAGAAGAGATTCAATGAACTGTACCCAGTTGTATGTAAAATGTGGCACAGAAAGCAATTCTTTTTAGAGGTTTAGTTAATAAATGTTTCAGACATGCATATTTTGTAAACTTGTTACATCAACACAAGATTCACAAATACAGTTTTCAGCACAAAACGAACAACATTTACAGTCAATAATGCTTTCTTTTTTTTCAAAACCAAAGACAGATAAAAGTTGATTCCTTAGGCAGAAAGAATCATTTTTACAGTAGTTTATGATGTCTTCCTTAATTCCTGGCAGATTCTTTCCTATATCACGATTAGAATAGAATAAAGTTGCAAATGAAGGTTGTCCACAGCGACCTGCACGCCCAATCTCCTGCAAGTATTGTGATATATTTCTGGGAGGGCATGCATGAATAATATGTGTTACATTTTTGGGATCGAACCCCATTCCTGCAATTGATGTTGTTAGAACCAACCGAATAGTTGGGTTCTCCTTTTTCAGTTCTGCTATTGTATGATTAATTACATATTCATCTTGTCCAGAACATATTGCACTGTAGAGTGATTCATTGATATTTAAAGAACCAAACAAGCTTTTCAAATAAATCATAGCTTCACTCATGTAATATATGGGCAAAAATAATAATGTTACTGGGAAATCTGCCTTCTTTTCATATAGATCATCACATATTTTGTGGACTATTTGTTCACATTCATTCAGAACATCAGTACCTTGGCCTTTCTTTTTTTATTAGGAATGTATTAGGTCTGTCAGGTGTATGTTCTATAAGATGAAAATTCTCAAGTCCCAGCTGTTTTGGAATTGTTTTCTTCTGTGAAACTGTTAAAGTACCACTCAAACCTATCACTGGCACATTTGGAAAAAAGGATTTTACACCTCTAAGCTTCTTGAAGGCAGTCCTGAATTCTTCTCCCCTGAAATAAGGTTTCGTATATTCTATTTAACTAATCATGAAAAAGGAAGATTATGGGGTATGTGCGAATGAGACATCATCCTGATAAAATTGTACATTCTGATGATTCATATCTTACTCAGTAACTATCTAAAATGGAGGTACATGACCTTTGAAATAGTTATATGGTCTATACAACAACAATGATACAAAATGTGTCATGGAAGTCACCACAAAGTGTTGTGTCATTTTTGAGCATACAGTCAGATGAAAAATCATAATTCAGTACACTTTGAACAAAAGAAAGGTTTTGAATATTTTCATGATAAACATTAAAGGAGATCTTTTTATTCTGTCTGAGTAATGGTTTTTATTTTATTTTAATAGTATGTTTTACTTACCATTTCTCTATGATATGGCATTCATCAATAACAACGGCGACTACTTGCGACACAATCTACTCATCGGACAGTATTTCATGTCCTATTTTTGTATTAAAGAGGGCCTCTGGATGACACAGAACAATTGAAAAGTCCCCCTTCTTCACTCTTTCGACATCGACCTCCCACTCGGCAATTAAATCACCATTTGTGGTGTCTTCCACCCTGGACACAATATTCAGTTTACAGGCACTGATACCATGAACTTTCAAGGCTTCAATTTCATCCTTTTGAATAATATTCAAAGGTGAAATTGTCAAACAAACGGGGGTCTCCTTGCCTTTGCCCATAACCTTTGGGAGTAGGTGATATACGAAACACTTTCCATAACCGACAGGCAAACTAAGCAACAGATCTCCTTTCTTGCCACGTAGATATTCAAAGGCTTGTCTTTGACAATCCCTTAACACGATGTTCTTGTCATAATCTTTTACAATTGTATCTAATGTTGACATATTTCAAAAACAAAGATCGTCCAACAGCGTGTTTTAAATGAACCACTTCCTCCGTGATTGTTTACATTGCTAATGGAGTATTACTCCGAGAAATAGTCCTTTGTTTGTTACCGTGATTTACCAATAAATTCTTTTTATTTCAATATTTTAGCAAGGCTTTAACATCAAAATATAGATTGGATACATATAAAACTATAATTTGTAATATCATGATTGAGAATGAGTTTTGCTAAGATTCTTGGCATTTAGACGTTGACAGAGGTGTTGTAGCTAAGCGTAATACGCCCTCTGGTGAGAGATTGGTGAAGAATAAGAGAGTGTTCCGAGCAGCACACATACATGTAGCAGGGATTCGCAATGTTCTGGCACATCAATTAAGCAAACAAAAAGTCAAAATGATTTTCGTATAATAATAAATTTGCTCACATCGGACAAGCTTTTTATACTTGTAGTTTTCGTACTTCTATTTCGACTCTACTTGGTACAACTCCACAAGTGAATAAAGTAAGCATTGAAGGCGTGCTTACGAATTCGATTCGGGCACGAACCGTTAAACAGCTGGCAAGATACCTTGCGTATATTGAAATCTCGTGAGGCCTGTATCGAAATATGGAGTGGTATTTGCTTTTCAGCGATATAAGAGGGAAATATAGGCATTGTGCTTGAGATAAGTTGTGAATTTGATATATTTTTTTTAATTCCATGTGCAAGTATCGAAAAAAAAAGTTTAGCTGGGGGCTGCGAAATTTCCATTTTTCATTATAACATGTGAATGTCAGACACCTCGGCCCAACGACATCTCGGCCCAATGGCACCTCGGCCTTGACTGGTCGGCCCAAAATTTAAGACACCTCGGCCCATACATAAGACACCTCGGCCCAAGCAAACTTTTATTAGAAAGTGTTATATATTTCCAATCTGCGACTTCAATACAATTTTGACCGAAAAAAGTAAACAATCAAGATTATTTTTAGTAATAAAAAGGCCTCCACGAGCTGCATGATTGACGATTATCAAGGAATAAAAAGACAATTAATTATAATTTTAAAAATGCTAACAGATAAACAAGATGCCGCGGCGCACCCTTTGGGAGTCTCCAGTGCGTGTCATATTGGTGACAATAATTACGAGCAGGCTTAATTGTGAGACAATCATTCAGAACATTTACATCCATTTATTTCTGAAGAATTCCACTTACATTAAAAACTAGTTCGAGCCCTGATTTTTTTTTTCTTTAATTTTATTTTAAGCTATCTGTATCAAACTATGATTTTCAATCAGTGAACATGATAAAACATACGATAAAGTTCAGATCAATAATGCAATTATTTTACGTACTTAAACTATTATTTTATACGATTATTTATACTGACATAAGTATAAACAATAAAATGCCCTTCCTTTTTTTTTGTTAATGCAAGATTAACAACCGCAACCATATAGCAGAATTTCTTCGTTTATCTGATTTATGCAATTTTCCTGCAATATAGCTGCAATTGTTAAATTCTCGCTTTTACAAAAAAGTTACTGTTTAAATGAAGTCCATATAAAAAATCAAAGTACTGAAGGTACTGATGGGAGTTGATTTTAAGGACGATTTATGTTTTTAACCTTGTTTACAGCTTTTCAAATTATGTACAACATTATTGTTTCTTAATTTGGTATGCGAGTATCAAAAGACTAAAAAAATGTCACGATTTTAAGGAGTCAAAAAAGGAGGGCTTGTTTTGAGTTGACCATCACTTTTGAATGATATGCAAACACATGTAAAACTTCTTCATTGCTCAAAGTTTTTCAGTAATTTAAGGTATTTTCCTTACCAAAAATTTATTTAAAAGTGCCAAAGCGACTTTTTTTTTTCGTCAGAATGTGATTCAAGTTGCAGATTCCGCTCCTGTACATGTATATATAAAATCTTAGAATAAATGATTTTTAAGTGTACGTTTGAATT